ACAAAAACAACATAAAAAAATTAGTAGCATTTCTATACATGAACAAAGAACTAGCTGAAAATGAGGTCAAGAAGGCAATCTGGTTTATAATACCTACAAAAAACAAAAATACCTAGGAATAAATTTAGCCAAGGAGGTGAAAGATCTCTACAAAGAAAATGACAAAACACTGATGAAATAAACTGTAGATGACACAAACAAATGGAAGGACATCTCATGTTCATAGACTGGAAGAATTAATATTGTTAAAATGACCATAGTACCCAAGTCTATCTACAGATTCAATACAATCCCCATCAAAATACCAATGCCATTTTTCACAGAAATAGAAAACACAATCTTAGAATTTGTATGGAATCACAAAAGACCCCAAGTAGCTGAAGCAATTCTGAGCAAAAGAACAAATCTGTATAAAGCACAGTACCAGACTTCAAAATATTCTACAAAGCTCTAGTAACCAAAACAGCATGGTATTGGCATAAAACGGACACACAAACCAATGGAACAGAATAGAGAACCCAGAAATTAATCCATGTATCTACAGCCAACTGCTTTTTGACAAAGATTGCAAGAACACTCAGTGGGGGAAGGACAGTCTTTTCAATAAATGGTGCTGGGAAAACTGGATAGCCATACACAGAAGAATAAAACAAGACCCCATCCCACCTCTTACCCTATACAAAAATCAAACAAAAATAGATCAAAGACTTAAAATGTAAGACCCAAACTTCTAAAACTATTAGAAGAAAACATAGGGGAAACCCTTCAGGACATTGATCTAGGAAAAGTTTTATGACTAAGACCTCAATAGCACAGGTAACAAAGCAAAAATGAACAAATGGGATTTCAGCAATCTAAAAAGCTTCTGTACAGTAAAAAAAACAATCAACGGAGTGGAAAGACAACTTACAGAATGGAGAAAAATATTTATAAACTATTAATCTGACAGGTGATTAATATCCAGGATATACAAGGAACTCAAACAGCTTAACAGAAAAAAAATTCAATTAAAAATGGGCAAATGAACAGACATTTCTCAACAGATGACATTAAAATTACCAATAGTTTATTTGCTTAGAGGTGTTTATAGTATTCTTATGGTAGTTTGTATTTCTGTGGGATTGGTGGTGATATCCCCTTTATCATTTTTTATTGCATCTATTTGATTCTTCTCTCTTTTATTCTTCATTAGTCTTGCTAGTGGTTTATCAATTTTGTTGATCTTTTCAAAAAACCAGCTCCTGGATTCATTGACTTATCGAACTTTTTTGTGTGTGTCTGTCTCCTTCAGTTCTGCTCTGATCTTAGTTATTTCTTGCCTTCTGCTAGCTTTTGAATTTGTTTGCTCTTGCTTCTCTAGTTCTTTTAATTGTGAAGTTAGGGTGTCAATTTTAGATATTTCTTGCTTTCTCTTGTGGGCATTTGGTGCTATAAATTTCCCTCTACACACTGCTCTAAATGTGTCCCAGAGACTCTGATATGTTGTATCTTTGTTCTCATTTGTTTCAAAGAACATCTTTATTTCTGCCTTCATTTCGTTATTTACCCAGTAATCATTTTGGAGCAGGTTGTTCAGTTTCCACGTAGTTTTGTGGTTTTGAATGAGTTTCTCAATCCTGAGTTCTAATTTGATTGCACTGTGGTCTGAGAGGCAGTTTGTTATGATTTCTGTTTTTTCACGTTTGCTGAGGAGTGCTTTACTTCCAATTATGAGGTCAATTTTAGAATAAGTGTGATGTGGTGCTGAGAAAAATGTATATTCTGTTGATTTGGGGTGGAGAGTTCTGCAGATGTCTATTAGGTCTGCTTGGTGCAGAGCTGAGTTCAAATCCTGGATATCCTTGTTAACCTTCTGTCTTGTTGATCTGTTTAATATTGACAGTGGGGTGTTAAAGTCTCCCATTATTATTGTGTGGGAGTCTAAGTCTCTTTGTAGGTCTCTAAGGACTTGCTTTATGAATCTGGGTGCTCCTGTATTGGGTGCATATATATTTAGGATAGTTAGCTTTTCTTGTTGAATTGATCCCTTTACAATAATGTAATGGCCTTCTTTGTCTCTTTTGATCTTTGTTGGTTTAAAGTCTGTTTTATCTGAGACTAGGATTGCAACTCCTGCTTTTTTCTTTTGCTTTCCATTTACTTGGTAGCTCTTCCTCCATCCCTTTATTTTGAGCCTATGTGTCTCTTTGCACATTAGACAGGTCTTCTGAATACAGCACACTGATGGGTCTTGACCCTTTATCCAATTTGCCAGTCTGTGTCTTTGAAATAGCAAAGACTTGGAACCAACCCAAATGTCCATCAATGATAGACTAGATTAAGAAAATGTGGCACATATATACCATGGAATACTATGCAGCCATAAAAAGGATGAGTTCATGCCCTTTGCAGAGACATGGATGAATCTGGAAACCATCATTCTCAGAAAACTATCACAAGGACAGAAAATGAAACACTGCCTGTTCTAACTCATAGGTAGGAATTGAACAATGAGAACACTTAGACACAGGGTGGGGAACATCACACACCAGGGCTTGTTGGTCAGTGCGGGCCTAGGGGAGGGATAGCATTAGGAGAAATACCTAATGTAGATGATGAGTTGATGGATGCAGCAAACCAACATGGCACATGTATACCTATGTAACAAACCTGCACGTTGTGCACTTGTACCCTAGAACTTAAAGTATAATAAAAAAAAACAAAATACAATGACCAATAAACATATTTTAAAATGTTCAACATCACTAATCACCAGCAAAATGCAAATCAAAACCACAATGAGGTATCATTTCATCCCTGTTAGGATGGCAATCATCAAAAAGACAAAAAATAACACACACTGGCAAGGATGTGGAGTACAGGAAACCCTTCTTCATTCTTAGTGGGAATATCAATAGTACAGCACCTATGAATAACAGTATGGAGGTTCCTAAAAAACTACAAATAGAAATACCGTATGATTCAGCAGTTCCATTGCTGGGTATTAAACCAAAGGAAATGAAATCATTATATCAAAGAGACATCTATGCTCCTATGTTTATTGCAGCACTATATGTGATAGCCAACATATGGAATCAACTTAGGTATCCAACATCAAATGAATGGTAAAGAAAATGTGATAAACATACACACGGCAGAGAACTATTCAGTCATAAAAAAGAATGAAATCATGTCATTCACAGCAACATGGATGGAAGTGGAGGACATTATGTTAAGTGAAATAAGCCAGGAATAAAAAGTTAAGCACCACATGTTCTCACTCATATATGGAAGCTAAAAAAGGTTGCTCTCATAGAAATAAAGAGTAGAACAGAGGATGCTAAAGGCTGGGAAAGTAGGGAATAGGGAGAGATTAGTTTAGGATACAATATACAGTGAGATATGATGAATATGTTCTAGTGTTCTATATCACTGATATGGTCAGGCTTTGTGTCTCCACCTAAACCTTACCTGAATTGTAATCCCCACGTGTCGAGGGAGGGAGGTGACTGGATCATGGGGGCAGTTTCCCACATAGTGTTCTCATGAGAGTGAATGAGTTCTTATGAGTTCTGATGGCTTTATAAGGAGTTCTTCCCCCTTCACTTTCTCTTCTCTCTCTCACCTGCCGCCACGTAATATGTGCCTCTTCCCCTTCTGCCATGATTGTAAGTTTCCTGAGGCCTCACCAGCCACGCTGAACTGTGAGTCAATTAAACTTCTTTCCTTTATTAATTACCCAGTCTCAGGTATTTCTTTATAGCAGTGTAAAAATGAACTAATACAACTACCATAGGATGACTATAGTTAACAATAATATATTATATAGTTTTAAATAGCTAGAAGGGAGATATTGAATATTCTCAACACAAAGAAATGATAAATGTTTGATGATGAATATGCTAATTACCCTGATCTTATCACTATATATTTTATGTATCGAAACATCACTATGCACCTAGAAAATATGTACAATTATTATATGTCAACTTAAAAATAACATCAAATAATGAAGAAATAATAACAACATAGAAACCTAGGGAAAAACTAGTATTTTTTTTCCTTTGGAGGATGGCATGGTTCACAGTTTAAGATATAGAGAAGACAAATAAAATAAAGGCTTAAAAGTATCCATTGGATTTAACAAAGGAGTTATTAGTGACCTTACCAAAAATAAGTTCAGTGGTATAATAGGAAACCTAATTGAAGTGATCAAGGAAAGATGAATCAAACATGAACAGAGGAGACTTTTATTTTTAACCAGTTGGTTAAGAGGAGAAGTATAAATAACAAGTGACTGGAGAGGTAGTATCAAACTTAAGGATGGCTTTTTTTGTTGTTGTTTTGTGGGGTTTTTTGTTTGTTTGTTTTTTGTTTTTGAAACAGGGTCTGGCTCCATTGCCCAGGCTGGAGCCTAGTGGTGTGATCCCGGCTCACTACACCTCTGACTCAAAGGCTCCAGCCATCCTTACACCTCAGCCTCCTGAATTGCTAGGACTACAGGAATGTGCCACCATGCCTGGCTAGTTTAGTAGAGATGGGATTTTGCCATGCTTCCCAGGCTGGTCTTGAACTTCTGGACTGAGGCAATCCACCTACCTCGCCTCTCAAAGTGCTGGGATTACAGGCAAGAGCCACTGCATCCAGGCATCTTTTTTGATAAATTATAGTTATTTAGTCCTTGAATATGGAGGTTCTGTCACATAGTGCTTGCTATCCTCTATGTTGTCATATACATTGGAGATAATTTTTAAAATGTGTTAAAATGAGATTCAAGTCTAAATTCAAAAATGAAAATCAGAAACAGACTAAAAACCTCCAATGCCTTTTGTGGTCACCTACCACTGTTGGATCATATATGTTATTCAGTGTTTTCCCCTGTTAGTGAGAAGACTATCTCAAGTTGACTTTTCATTCAATCTCCAAGGATCTGAAAAGATGGTTCTGTGATCATAATTAAGAAAGCATCAGGAAATGGGTCAAATATCAGCAGGGATAACCAATAAGGTAAATTGACTTACTTTGACTCTTTTTCACTCAGGTCCACATCATCATAGATAATAACTTCCTGAGACTTAAGTTCTAGGGTCAAGACAGGATCAAAATAGTCCATTATTAAGCATGGTTTATATAAGCACTGGCTTTCCAAATTATACCCAATTACCTAATTATCCAGGTGCATCTTTGGGGCTGTTTTGGCAAAATCTGATCATAGAATACAAATAGAGTAGAAGAATCAAAGAATAAAAATACTCGCTATTTGGGAAGAAATTCAACTGAAAGATTAAAAAAAAGTTTGATGTCCCAGTATCTCAAAACATATATATTTATATTAATTTGATTTCACAAAGATTTCCAGAAAAATGAGTTGCTCAAAGAATCATTTTTAGACTAAGTTCCCATCTTTCTGGAATTGAACAAATATGCTATACTGCTAGAATAGTGAGGTCTTTTCTTAACTCCTAGAGGGGAGAAACAGCTTAATAGAATAGTCATGTTGATTTTTCTTCCATGGTTTTTATTTCAAATCATTGGCAATTGTTCCTTTATAATAATCTTGCATAATGTTGAATCTGACTTAGTGCCATAATAATGATTAGGCATTTTCATTTTACAATATTCACATTCCTTGGCACTCTACATAGAATTACACGATTTTCAGGTGATTCACCACTGAACAAGTTTGAGACCTTCGGATATAATTATTCATAATTATTCACTCCCTTATTTTATTAAATACCTTTAAATGTGGGTGGGGATACAATGCGTGTCTATTCTAAGTCAGCTTTTTTCTTTTAAACATAGACCAAGGATATGTTGAGATGTGGGATTTTATCAGGTGTATATAATTGTCATTTGTTTTTTAGTTCAGCAAACTCATATTTACAAAATATAATATACATTTGAATTGTCAAGTTCAAGTGACATCCAGGTAGCCACATAGCTAGAACCGCTAAACAAAAATTAACAAACAACAGAACACATGACCCTCTTTTATTGACAAATTCAATGTACTGAACGTGTATTGACAGCCTACTATGTGTCATGCACAGTGCTAATTTATGCACTATTATTTTAATGGAAAAGCAAACAACATTCCAATGCTCCATTCTCAATTCAGTTAGTTTGCTGGTGGCAATGTGATCATATTCAACTTATTATGTCTTAATTAGAATGAAGGATATCAAGTCCTTCAAAAGGCAGTATGGTAGAATGCAAAATGCATGAGTTTCATAGGCAGAGAGACTGGAATACAAATCCTGGATCACTTAAATATGGATGTAGGTTCTACAGCTTCTCTGAAAAGGGATGATAACATTTACTTCTCTGGGATTTTAAGAGGAACACATCTGCTCCAGGGCACAGTATATAGTAGGTACTTGAGAAACATTATTCATCTTCCCCAATGTAAAAAAAATACTTCTGTATGAAACATCTTCTTTGATTTTGGTAGATCAATTTTTCATCAAATGTGGGAATGCAGGAAGGGTTACCATTTCTCTTTCCCTGCCTCTGAATATATGAAAACTGAGTACTTTTGGTCAGCAATAAGCAAATGGCACTTACCTAAATCAGGCAGCAAAATGGAAAACGCACTGTTGATTGACAAAAGACACAAAAGAGTTAAGGAGAAAAAACATGTTCCGAAAGATGAGCTGACAGATCTCCAATAACATATTGATGACGCTGGATTGCCCTTCTTCCCCTGGTATTCTCTGACTCCAAGAAAAATGGTTTCTCTGGTATTAACAGATTCACAAGATGTGCACAGGATGTTATGAGAACACAAGGGAAACATAGATAATCCAGGTTTGGTAAGAGAAGTTCAAGGGAGGAATTCAAGCAGGGATAATATTTGATCGAATTTTGAGGGAAAACTAGAACTTTGAGAATAAAAGAAGGCTGGAGGAGGGCAGGTACATTCCAGACCATGGGAATTTCATGTTCAAAGCATGGAGGCATGAGACACCATGGCAGTGTGTGAGATCTATAGCTATGTGGATTGGATGGTAGTGAGAGTTGCTTTTAGTGAGAGACAGAACTAGAGAAGTAGAATGGGGACAGCCATGATGTATTTACTTGCCAGGCTAAGGAACTGGATATTTGTTCTAAATGTTGTATGTAGCCAACCAATAGTTTTGAGAGAAAGGTAATCAGATTTGCATCTTAAAAATATTAGCATTCTTATATGGCTCAAATATTACGGGACTGCACGTTATCGTGCCAATAATTTTCTCTCAGAAAACATCTAATTTGCTAAGGCCAGGGTCTGCCTTTGTGCATAGGGTCTTGTTGACCACAGAAGGTAAACTCCCTCTTCTTCCATATTAGGACTACAATTTATAAACCTCATGTTTTGTTGGGTCTCTTGGTAGATCTAGACCCAACTGACAGTTGGACTTAAAGTCACAAAACTCTGAAGCTTTATAATCAAAAAGAACTTCAGGGTAGAGCAACATAATTCCATCTCACTATAGGTAATGACCTTGTGCAAATTATTTTATCATCTTCTGCCCTCACAAAATAAAATCTCTATATCTTTATATCTACACAGATGTTCCCGGTCTTATAATGGTTTGACTTGCAATTTTTCTGCTTTACAGTGGTGTGAAAGCGATACGCATTCAGTAGAAACCTACTTCAAGTATCCTTAAGACCATTCTTTTTCCACTTTCAGTACAGTATTCGATAAATTACATGAGATACTCAACACTTTATTGCAGACAGGTTTTGTGTTAGATGATTTTGCCCAGCTGTAGGCTGATGAAAGTATTCCAAGCATGTTTAAGATGGGCTAGGCTAAGCGATGACGTTTGGTAGATGTATTAAATGCACTTTTAACTTAACATATTTTAGAGTTGCAATGAGTTTATTGGGACATAACCCCATCATAAATAGAGGAGCACCATAATGCCTACATCTATATCTATCTATTGCCTGCAAAGTGTCTCCAGAGTCCCCCTTCCATTATATACAAGAGAAAACTGGAATGCTGCGGGTATACAAAGGAAGTGATATGCCCATGGTTATACATGGAATAAATGGCAGAACTGGTACTAGAATCTAGAATCCAGGTTCCCCTCATATCTCTTTCTAGTGCTAGTGAGTTTGGAACCTCTCCCAAAACTGGCACTTAGCCTAGGTCATCTCAGAGGGTCTTTTCCAGGTCTAAGACCTTGCAATACATGAACTGTTCAGCTGAGCAGCTCATCTCCCCCTTCCACACATTGCTGCTCTCAAGGGAGATAAATTAAATATAGAACAGTAGACAGATAAAAACTACTGGGGTTTGTAGGGCCCCAAAAGCGTAAAAGGACATGGTAAGTAACATAATGCTTAGTGGTAACAACAGGAATAGGATGTTAAGGATGATGAGGAAAGTTTCCCTTCTGGACTTCGCTTAAGATTTTCCCTCTACCCTCATTTTCAACCCTTTTTCTGCCATTTTTTCAAAGGAGCATGCCACTTTCTCATTAATTAGTCTCTGTGTATGTAATTCAATCAAAAACTCACAAGAAAGAGGCAGATGATAGCCAGATCCTTGGTTTTAGTTTCTGCTATCCCCTTCACTGTTTCTTAGACTGGATGGATAACATCAACCTGTGTATCTACCAGGTTAATCCCCTCATGGAAAGGGATTTAAAGGGACTTTTTACCTTAAGTTTTCTTTTGACTTGGTTTTCTTTATTTTAAATCTATCCTTTTCTTTCTTGAAGAATTGCTGCAGTCTTTTGAGTGCTCCTTTTCCATCTAAACTAAGAGGAATCACAGGACGTAAGTAACATGGCATTTAAGAGAGTACTAGAGATAGAGAAGGCTGTTGTATTATAAAATCAAATGCCACATGTTCTCACTTATAAGTGGGAGCTAAACAATAGGTATACATGGACATAAAGATGGAAATAACAGACACTGGGGACTCCAAAAAGGGGGAGGGTGGGAGGAAGAATGAGGGTTGGAAAGTTCCCTGTTGGGTACAATGTTCACTATTTGGGTAATGGGTACACTAGAAACCCATACCTCATCATTAGGCAATATATCTATGTATCAAACCTGCACATGTACCCCTGAGTCTATTAAAAAAATAAAGAACCAGAGGCTTTGGTTTCATGTCCAAAACACATCCCACTCAGGAAAGAGCAAGAAAATGCCTTATTGAATTATATGCTTTTCTTCTTTGTTTAGATGTGATACGAAGTAGCACACACCAGTCAACTATGAAGGGAGTAATTATATTTCAAGACAAACTACCGCAAGTGTCTCTATTTTGCAGATTTTATGAAGCAGTCCTCCCTTTAGAGGAAAAGATAACTCAGGGAAATGTAGTTTACAAACTGTACTAGAAATACGTTATAGAAAATCCTGGCTCAATTCCCACCTATGAGTGAGAACATGCAGTGTTTGGTTTTCTGTTCTTCAATAGTTTGCTGAGAATGATGGTTTCCAACTGCATCCATATCCCAACAAAGGACACTAACTCATGCTTTTTTATGGCCGCATAGTATTCCATGGTGTATATGTGCCACATTTTAATCCAGTCTGTCACTGATGGACATTTGGGTTGATTCCAAGTCTTTGCTATTGTGAATAGTGCTGCAATAAAGATACGTGTGCATGTGTCTTTACAGCATCGTGATTTATAATCCTTTGGGTATATCCCCAGTAATGGGATGGCTGGGTCAAATGGTATTTCTAGTTCTAGATCCTTGAGGAATCACCACACTGTTTTCCACAATGGTTGAACTAGTTTACAGTCCCACCAACAGTGTAAAAATGTTCCTATTTCTCCACATCCTCTCCAGCACCTGTTGTTTCCTGATTTTTTTAATGATTGCCATTCTAACTGGTGTGAGATGGTATCACATTGTGGTTTTGATTTGCATTTCTCTGATGGCGAGTGATGATGAGCATTTTTTCATGTGTCTGTTGGCGATATGAGTCTTAACTATGACAAAATATACCTCTTTGGAGACCATCCAACCTAAATTCCCTGACCAGTCAACAACTCATACTTCTCCCTACTTTATATTAACCAGTATCTAAAATTTTGTCTATTTGTTTATTTCTTTATTGTTCATCTTCCTTATCTAGACTGTGCACACTATGTGATCTACTTCTTCAAACAGAGGCCTGACAGTATTGTTTAAACAATATAACTCAAAAAATTCAAATTAATCGGTATATGTCAAACATAATATCCCACAATTAGGGGATATACTTTACTCTCAATAAACATTAGAACATTAAAAAATAATGACCTAATATTATATCAAATTAAGAACATTTTATAGTCAATTCAAAAAAGGCAATTATTCTTTACTTGCTCACTACCATGTAAGTGAATGAGAAAATAACAAATATAACAACAGGAAAAATGCACCCATTTGGACAAAATCATCACATCACTCTTGAATATCTACTAGGCAAAACTGTAATAACAAAAATACTTTTCAAAAAAATAAAATGAGAAAATGTTTATACCCAAGACCTAAAAAAAAAAAAAAAAAAAGGAAATCCTGGCTCTTGAAATTCTTATCATTGATTTTTAATTTACTGAATAATACAGCAATAGTGATACATTGATTACCCAGCTGATAAGTACAATTCTGTCAAATATTCTTTTGGGGCTTTTAGGGGGTAGAGTGAGGGAACGATATGCCCACCTCATGCTAACCAGCATGTCCAGTTCAGGGTCTCCTTTTTCCCCTTGAACCCTTAAATTCCTTGCTTTTGACCACTGCTGTTTTCTTTTCCACAACATGTCCTTAATAACTAAACTTGTCGAATAATACCCATCTGAACAAATTTTATTCTTGATAACCCTGGATCACTACATGTTGTATTAAGCCCAAATCCCAGAGATAGGCTTACTAACTTACAGAGACACAGGTAAGTCATAACCACTGATTTGTTCCTGGAAAAACAGCTATAGAATTGAAGCAAGTTTTATTAATATTTATGTCTCTTTTATTACTTATTTCCTAACCCAATATCAAAATCCTTTACTCTGGGAAATGGGTATTTCTCAAAAGCGAGAACAATGTGATTTAATATGTATAGTATATGATTGTACACAATTACAAGTATCCTGTTGATCACAATTGTAATGTTACAATAGGTTATCATAACTTTCAGTGTGAATCTTTCCTAAGAGATGATGATGGGAGTCGGGGGTGGCGGTGGGGCGGGGTGGAGGTGGGTTCTCATTTAAGCTCTGGCTTTACTGTACCAACGGGAAGTATCATTAGCCTACAAAGCCAAGAAAGAGAGAAACTCACTCTATCTTTGGGTAGTTGTTCTTTGTTTTATAGACATCTTCATACATTTCTTCTCTGTTTTCTTCTGAAATTAAAAAACCCTACTTATATTCATTCCAACAGCAATAGTTCAGATTCATATTTAACAAAATTTTTTAGATACTTACTAGATGCTAGGTACTTTGATCTTTCTTTTGTTAAATAGTTTTTACTGAAACTCAGCCACACGTGTTTAAAAGCATATGGTAAAAATACTGAAAATTCTATAAAAGTATGTATAAATGAAAATTAAGACTCATTTCCACCTGATTCCAAGTTTGAACTGATTTAGTCAAAGACAGTTGGTTCTTCAATAGATTCCTTCCTTCCTCCCTCCCTCCTTTCTGTATTTAATACATAATAATCAGAATTTACTAAGCATCAGGCATTGCGCTGAATGCTGGGGAAACCATGGAAAATGAGTTATATCTTGAATAATCTTTCCCTTCACAGCATGGCTTTGGCCTAGCCCAAAACATAAGCTTAACATACACAGATATACTTTAATTCAATCCTGAAACAGAGTCTAATGGAAAGAACTTTGAATTAAGGGTCAGGATTTTCAGGTTCAAAACTCGACTTTAACACACAATGATCTTAGAGGAGTCACTTCTCTATGTCTCAATTTTCTTTTTAAAATGAGTGTGCTGGGTTTAATGATATTTAAGGTTGTTTTTCCCTCTAAACTTCTGGGATTCTAAGAAGATCAATCAGAGTAACATTTGATTCTCTCTCCTCCATTGCTTTTTCTTTTTCTAAAATTTATTTTAAAATTGACAAACAATTATATACACTTATGATCTATAACATGTTTTGATAATTGTATACATAGTGGAATGACTAAGTCAAGCTAGTTAACATATTCATTACCTCACATACTTTATCGTGGAGAGAATTAAAAAATCTACTCTCAGCAATTTTCAAGTATAAAATACTTTGTTATTAACTATAATCACTATGTTGTACTATAAACCTCCTGAAGGTACTTCTCCTAATTGAAATTTTGTATCCTTTGACCAACACCACCCCATTACTTTTTCATTCATGAATTCATTCATTCAACAGATTCTTTTGAATATCTAACATGTACTTGGCATTATGCTAGGGGCTGGAGAAAATGGTATGTATAAAGAAGGTAATAATCTAGGAGGGGAGACATTAATTAAAAAGTCACATAAGAACAAAATTACCACTGCAATAAGTACTATGAAAAAGAAGTCCATGGTACTATGAGATTGTACACCAAGGAGAATATTCCCTGTGGAAATAATGATGGAACTGAGATTAGAAGATTAAGAGTCAGTGAAGCAAAGGGACCCAGGGGAGGAAAGAGGATTTCGGAAAGGGAGGGAGAAGCATATGAAAATACCCTGCTGTGGGAGCTTGGCAAATTATAGAAGCTAAAAGAAGGTCAGCATAACTGGGTCTCAAAGGTGAAGACTGAGTATAGTATGAGATGAGGCTCCAGAGGTCTGTAGGGGTAGGTTAGTCAAGGACTCTAGATCATGTCAGAAGTCAATCTTTAAAGTATTAGAAAGCCAAGAAAGTGTTTTAAGTAAAAACATTCTTATAATCAGACTTCCATTGTAAAAAATCAGGAAGGAAGTAAATTCACTTTTACATAAGAATGCTCTTACCAGCATCTTCACGTTCCTGATTCTAAATGCATTTATTAGCACATACCTTGGTATTGCTGTTAGCACATACCTTGATACTGCTTCTCTTAGCTTGTCACAAATTGGTATTATTAAAATATGAATAATTAAAAGATGTCTTATCACTAATCAGTCATAGAAGTATTCTGCAATTCCTACTGGCAGCTTCAGAAATGTCTTCCTATACTTACCACTATTTGAGGCAAATGAGCTACGGAAGTTTGGCTTCGGTCTACGGGAGAAAATAACAAAGACCATTTTTGTACCTTTAAAGTCTCATCACATTCATCTTGCTGAAAGACTGGAACGTTACTTACACCTCTTTCCTGGAGTACTCGACATCATCATATATCTCCTCCGAGATGGAACTTGGCTTAGAGACCCCTAGGTCTGGAGTTTCTTTAGTCGACTCCAAAACCTCCAGATACCCACCTGAAAGGAAATCAGAAACCCCCCCTGAAAAACATTTCATCAGCTGCCATCATAAAGTCATTCACACACATCACTGGCAATGCAAGCAAGCATAAGAAAAGGCAGATTAAATGGGCTAAAATTGGATTACAGTCTTGGTATGTATGATCCTTGGGCAAGCCACCTCACTTTGCAGTGCCTCAGTTATGATTCTCTGAAGTTGAGGATATTAATGCTAACACCAAATCATGTGGTTTTGGCAAGGATTAAATACATACTTAAAAAGGGTGCTGGTTACCTCGTAAACTAGTAACTCCCTTCTTTGATGGTTCTTCCTTTAATCCCTGACCTCAAACTTTGGAGTCTACCAGGGTACATCCCTGGGGCTTATCTCTCTACATCTAGATGATCTTATCCAGTCTTATGGCATTTCTTAAAGCAAAATTTCTCAGACAAGTTGATTGATTGAGCACCTATCAATATATAGTATTCATTAATTCATTCTGGAGTTAGCCAGAAGATAGTGTGCCAGGTTAACAAATGTAGAGGGATTGTTTGCACAGGTAGCTAAATGCAGACGCTGGCTTACTTCACAGAGTTGTAAACTTGTCATAACCATAAAACTGCCACTTCTTTATCTGTTGGCATTGGTTAATATTTAGGGTATTGGTAATTCATAGCCATATTCAGATATGAACTACTAATCAGAAATAGAAAGTAATATACTTGAGAAATAAACAACAAGCACATTAACTTGTATCTATTAGTTGAATGAACCAAGCAATAAGATTTTATCCCCTGACAAGAAGTCAGTGAGCGTGTAGGCCCCAAACCATCTCAATGAATGTCAGCTCTCGGAGGCATAAGGTCCTGCTTTTTCTCAAGGAGTGATCAGTAAATTTCTCCAATACAAAATAAAGATGCTGAACACACAGTTGCTTCTCAGTCTGCAGCATTTTTTTTCCTTCCTCAATCCTTCCTTTTGGCTGAAGCAAATGCAAAAGTTTATGGCTTCATTTTAAAAACACTGACGACTCTCAAATTTACATCTCCAATTTAGACATCTCTCATGAATTCCAGATACTTTATCAGCCTTCACACCATTTCCTTTTGGTTGTCTAAACATATTACATTCCAAACCAAACTCATAACTTCTCTCTGCAAGTTTGCTCTTCCTGAAGTTTATTCAATCTCATAAAAGGGGCAATTCCATCCTTTATGTTGCTCAGGCCCAAAACCTTGGAGACATCCTTGATTCATTTCTCTCTCATTTCTCACTTCTAATCCAAAGCCATCTGTCCACTATAGTTTCAAATTATATTCTGATTTCAAACACATCTCAGCAATTCCACCATAGTATCCTCCTCCAAGCTACCACCATTTCTCACCTAAATTATTGCAATAACCTCCTAACCGTTCTCCCCGATTTAGCTTACATTTTATTTTCAAGACAGAAGCCAGATGATTTTTTAAAATGCAAAGCAGGTCATGCCTTTCTTGTACTTTCAAAGGCTTTCAGTGGTTTTAAAAATCTCATTTATGGTAAATGCTAAAGTTCTTGCAATGATCTACAGAAGTCCCTTATTATTTCTGTGACCCCATCTCCTACTATACTCTTCCTCAGTTACCCTGAGGCCACACTGGCCTCCTTGCAGCTCCTCCAGCGTATCTGGCCAACTTCTGCCTCAGGGATTTGCACTTTTTTTCTTTTCCTAGGTCGTTCATATCCTAGATACACATATGGCTCTCTTCCTCAGCTACTTAAGGTCTTTGAAGTCATCCATGAGCACTTTTTTTTTTTTTTTTTTTTTTTTTTGAGACGAAGTCTCGCTCAGTCGCCCAGGCTGGAGTGCAGTGGCGCGATCTCGGCTCACTGCAAGCTCTGCCTCCCGGGTTCACACCATTCCATGAGCACTTTAAAATGGCAACCTCCATCACCTTCATCTGCTTCCTTAATGCTCTTAGCTTGCTTTATTTTTTCATAGTATTTACTATTAATACCATTCAATATAGATCTTTTATTATTTATTGCCTGTCTCCTCTGATCAGAAAGTAACCTCCGTGAGAAAAGAAATTTTTGCCTGTTTGCTGCTATATATCCCCATTTCCTAGAACAGTGCTGGGCACATAAAAAGCACTTAATATATTTGAATTTCGAATGATTTGAATGCATGTGTCTTCTCACTAGTGAATTTAGTGTATTACATTTATAGCGTCTACTGATATTTTAAAATTTATATCTATTATCTTAGTATATATTTTTATTTGTTCCATTTTTTTTCTTATCTTTGTCTGGCTAAAGTTTCTTCTTTTTCCGCCATTCTGTTTTCTTTTCTATTTGTTTTCTTTCATTTATCTTTTAATAGTTACCCACAAGAGTGACCACTCTCCTGACTTCTAATACCAGCAGTACTTATTTTTGAATGTTATAATAATGGAATAATTTAGTATGTACTCTATGGTGCCGCCTACTTTCCTTCAATATTATGTTTGTGAGATTCATCCATAGTGTTGCAAATAGTTTTAATTTGTTGATTCCAATGACTTTATTCTATTATGTGAATTGGTTACCATTTATTTATCTATTCTACTTTTTATGGGCATTTGGACAGTTTCCAATTTGGGGCTATTACAAAAAGTTTTGCTACAAACATTTTGTCTGTGTGTTTTGGTGCATTAAACTGTGCACTTACATTGGGATATATACATAAGTACAAAATTGCTAGGTCATAGGATACGCATATGTTCAACCTTAGTACTACCAAACAGTTTTCCAGAATGGTTGTCTCAGCTTACAGTCTCCACAGAGAATGAGAGTTTTAGTTGCTCCAGATCTTCACTAACACTTGATACTTTTAGTCTTTTCTATGGTAGACAATTTGGTGAGCAGAATTGAATCTTCATAGTGTATTTGCCCTTTGGATAGTCTCTTTGGGGAAGGGCCTATTCAATATTTTTCTAATTTCACTACATTTCCTTTTTTAAAAGTTGATTTCTAGTTTATATTTTTTGAATACCAAGCATTTATAGAAGATGTGTATTCCAAATATGAGTCATTTATCAAATATGTATATATTTGATATATAAATGGTATATGTAAATAATGCAAATATCTTCTCCTACACAGTGACTTACCCTCTCACTCTTTTTAATTTTTTTTTTTTTTAATTTTACTTTAAGTTCTGAGATACCTGTGCAGAATGTGCAGGTTTGTTGTGCCATGGTGGTTTGCTGCACCAATCAACCCGTCATCTAGGTTTTAAGCCCCGCATGTACTAAGTATTTATCCTAATGCTCTCCATCCCCTTGCCTCCCACTCCCGACAGGCCCCAGTATGTGATGTTCCCTTCCCTGTGTCCATGTGTTCCTCACTGCTCAACCCCCACTTATGAGTGAGAATATGTAGTATTTGGTTTTTTCTTCCTATGTTAGTTTGCTGAGAATGATGGCTTCCAGCTTCATCCATGTCCTTGCAAAGGACATGAACTCATTCTTTTTTATGGTTGCATAAATTTCTCCATAGTATTCCATGGTATATTCGGCATAGTATTCCATGGTATATATGCGCCACATTTTCTTTATCCAGTCTATCATTGATGAGTTGTTTCCAAGTCTTTGCTATTGTAAATAGTGCTGCAATAAACATACGTGTGCATGTATCTTTATAGAATTATTTATAATTCTTTGGATATATACCCAGTAATGGGATTGCTGGGTCAAATGGTATTTCTGGTTCTAGATCCTTGAGGAATCACCACACTGTCTTCCACAATGGTTGAACTAATGTACACTCTGACCAACAGTGTAAAAGCATTCCTATTTCTCCACAGCCTCGCCAGCATCTGTTGTTTCCTGACTTTTTGATAATTGCCATTCTAACTGGCGTGAGATGGTATCTTATTGTGGTTTTGATTTGGATTTCTCTAATGACCAGTGATTATGAGCTTTTTTTTCACGTTTGTTGGCTGCATAAATGTCTTCTTTTGAGAAGTGTCTGTTCATATCCTTTGCCCACTTTTTGATAGGGTTGTTTTTTCTTTGTAAATTTGTTTAAGTTCCTTGTAGATTCTGGATATTAGACCTTTGTCAGATGGATAGATTCCAAAAATTCCCTCTGATTCTGAAGGTTGCCTGTTCACTCTGATGATAGTTGCTTTTGCTGTGCAGAAGCTCTTTAGTTTAATTTGACCCCATTTGTCAACTTTGGCTTCTTTTTTGCCATTGCTTTTGGTGTTTTAGACATGAAGTCCTTGTCCATGCCTATGTCCTGAATGGTATTGCCTAGGTTTTCTTCTTGGGTTTTTATGGTTTTAGGTTTTACATTTAAGTCGTTAATTCTTCTTGAGTTAATTTTTGTGTAAGGTATAAGGAAGGGGTCCAGTTTCTGTTTTCTGCATATGGCTAGCCAGTTTTCCCAGCACCATTTATTAAACAGGAAATCCTTTCCTCATTGCTTGTTTTTGTCAGTTTGTCAAAGATCAGATGGTTGTAGACGTGTGGTGTTACCTTCTCACTCTTTTAATGGTATATTTTAATGAATGTATCCTAGCTCTTCTAATTCTTTCAAGGCTAAAGCAAATTAATACCATTACTCTCTTCCCAAACAATTACCAACCTTAGGACACTTTAATCACCGTCTCAATATAAGCACTATGAATGTTCAATATTTTATAATATTTTAGACCTTCCTCAATTTGACATTATTTTCTTGCGTTAATGCTTTCGCTTAACTTTTTTTCTTGCATCCACAACTTTCTGTCTGTGATTATTTTCCTTCTGCCTGAAGTACATGCTTTAGAATTTCCTTCAGTGCATTTTATCTGAACAATAAAATGTCCCAGTTTTTATTTGTCTGATAACATCTTATTTTTCTTTCATTTGTGAAAGACATTTTTACGAGGCATAAAATTTCAGGTAGACATTTAATCTCTTTCAGCAAAACTGTATTCTCGTTACACACTCAGCAGTCAGAGAGAACTCAGCAGAGAGAACTCAGCAGTCAGAGCTCAATTTTTTTTTATTTCTTTTTGTAGGTGATTGGTTTTTCCCCTTTGTCTGTTTTTAAGGTCTTTTAAGATATTCTCTTACTCTTTAATGTTCTTCATTTTGCATGGCTAGGCATAGATTTCTGTTCTTTATCCTGCTTAAGAACCTTAGGGTTCCTGGTTCAAATTTATCTCTCTCAATAATTTTGGAAAATTCTCAGATAGTATCTGTTTTATCTATTATTTCCTCTTCCTCATTTTTCCAGTATCTGTTCATGGAATTCTGATTTTTCTGATTTTATTGCTATTTTAAGACTTCTCACTTTATCTTCCATGACTTTTATCTTCTCTTTTACTCTTTTTTTTTTCAAATCATTTCCCCCTGTAGAATGAATTTTGGATAATTTCTTTAGATTTATCTTTTAGTTCACTAATTTTCTCTTCAACTGTAGGTAATGTGATATAAAATGCAATCACTGCATTTTATCAATGTATCAATTATTATTTTTTCCTTTTCAAATATTTTTAAAATATGGTTATTCCCTATTCATATTATTCTCTATTTTAAAAACATATTAAACACCTTATGTGTTATACCCGATGATTCTAATATCTGCAATATCTTGTAGGTTGGGTCTGCTATCTGTTCTGCTGGTTTTCCCTCACTGTGAGTTGTTTCCTTGTGCTTGGTTATTTTTGACTATCAGTTGTTAATATTTTAAAGAATACTTTGAGGGAATTATTTGAAATCTGGGATAAAACTAAATAGGGATTTGGATCTCAGTAAAAATCATCAAGGCAAAAGTTAGCTTTGGCACGCACCTCCCAGGTTTCCTGGTTACTGCAGGCCTGTGGGTGATTTTCTTCATAAATCATTTCTGTGATACTTTTATGAATGTTTTAAAAAATTGATTCTTCACTTTGTTTTAGTCAAGAGAGTCATTCATATTGCCTAGTCCACCATATTTTTAGACACTGAAGTTTGATTTATCCTTTCATTCTACAAAATTAAGTTGGGTTTCTCCTGTGTGCCCGATACTGTGTCAGGTTACAGAGATACAGAAAAAATTAGCAAATGGTCTGTGATTTCAAGGTGCCCACAGTGTGCCATGGGAGATAACACATAAATCATGAATTGTAATGTAAGGCATGGTATGATATTTTTCAAAATACAAATAAATGAAAAAGACTAATAGTTACTTAACATATGATCCAGAAACTTCATATGCATTGACAAATAGCCCTAGGAAATTAGTAGTAGTATCACCACTTGCACATGAAAGTAAGTAAATTTCCCAAAATCACAGGGTTAGTATAGAAATGCTTTATTCCAGGTCCTATTACTGTGGTCGTTCTGTTGTTAATAAAGTGTCAACTGAAAGGGTAGTAAAACCAGGAGTGCAAAAACTGATATTGTTTGTGTCCCTGGATCCAACCATGACTAGACTTTGTGCTAGGTGAATCTCCTTTTCTTTTTGGTTTAACATAGTATGGTTTGATTACTGTTGCTTGCAATCAAGAGTCCTGACTAACATGCAGGTAAAATACAACCTGAATAAAGTCCACAAATGACACCATAGTGTTATCATCAGTACATGTCAATGATGATGTGAGCCTAGACAACAGGAGCTAGTATATATAAAAAGAAAAGAATAAACATTTGCTGAGTACCTATCATATGACATACTGTCAGATTTGGTCCTCATAAAAGCCCTGTGAGGTCCATATTATGATGATCTCTTTTTATAAATGAAGAAATTGAGTTGCAGGAATATAAAATCCTTACCACACAGCTTACTAAGTATTAGAGCTTAGGTTTGAACTCAAGACTTCTGCTTTTGAATTCATTGTTGTTGTTGTTGTTTTTTTTCCCAGTACTGCACAGCTTCCTCACTAGGGCAAGTTGCTTGGCACATAATAGATGTTCAATAAATATTGGTAAAATAAATTAAAATTTTGGCCATGCTTAGCTATAAAACAAATTGGTAATGATGAAGAGGATCAGGAAGAAATGCAACTTACAGTGGCCTTGGGAGTGCCTGGCCAGCTTCGGGCCCTCAGGGCAGGGATTTGTCTGGATGACGTCAGTCATGGCCTCTTGCTTTCCAGCCAACATGTTCCTTCTACCTGTGTGGATGTTGGTCATCTGAATTTTTTCAGGTGTCCCTTCATAGGCATCTACCTAAACATATGCAAAAGGGAGAGTACCATAGGTCTCTGACTTACCTAATCAGTTCTTTGCTTACTTGTACAATTTTTCATTCATTCCTCTTAGATAACAATTGTTTATCATTTATTTAACATTGAATAATATCTTACCAGATTCTAAGTTTCCTGAAGGTGCATATATATATCCTTCATGACCTCTGAATGTTCAGTGAATGCCTGGCACAGAGGCAGCTCACAGGAAGCAGTCAGGATATAGGGTGTACTGACTATAGGGTAGGCTTTTTATATTCCATATAACTTAATCATCATGATACCTCATGAGAAAAGTATCATCAATTCTCTTAATAAAGAGTTTAGAGAGGTTAAGTAACTGGTCACTGGTTCCACAGTTAGTAATCTACCTAGGCACGACTTGACCCCAGAACCTTGTTCTAAGGGATGCTATGTATTCCTTTTCACTTCCTTCTTTTTGCCTACATTTTGTCTTCCCACGCACCATTCTTCTGTTCCTTCTCACTTCTTTCTTTACTCCCTTTCTCTAGCATTTGTCAAGCACTTACTGAAGGCAAGACAACATGCTAAGCTCTAGAAGTAGAGACAGAGTTTCCTAAGACATTGGTCTTGGAGATAATGCATGCAAATGATTAATTAGGGCATAATGTGATGAACGTTATTTACAGCAGTATTGCTCACCATCATGGAAACAGAGAGGATGAGGAGGCTGGTTCTCTTGGCTGGGAGAGGGGTTAGAGAAGACCTCGAAAAGCAGATTTTATTAAACTGTATTTTCCAAACGTCAGTAGGAGATTGACAGAGCAGATAAAGGAGTATCTGGCAGATAAAGCACAAAAAAAAGGCACAGGGGATTTGGGGAAGTATTCATGTCCTTATAAGGGTAGGAAGGAGGCTGCTGCTAAGGTAAGAGTTTAAGGAAAAAGATAAGGAAAAACAGCCTAGAGATGCAGTTGAAAAGGTAAATGAGCATGGGACTGACTTACGAAGGGTCCTGCGTGCAAAGCAAAGAGTTTGGGCTTTATTTCTTAGCCATTAGGATTCAGGCAGGGGAAAACCCTGATCACATTTACATTTCAGAACGTTCTGCATAGACTGACAGGAAGAGATCATGGAGAGAGAGAAAATTAGAGTATTTTTGGCCATCTAAGTGTTTTATAATTGTCCAATGAAAATGAGAGAAAGGTTATTGTCCTTCTGACTACAACAGAATAGACATGAGGATTGACTATGATAATACATTTGAAAGTACTTGGGAAAGGCTAATGTAATTAGTAGATATAAGGAGCGGATTATCCTGAGTTTTGGGTGGGATCTCGGGGAAACTCATAGAAGAATAAGAGGAGGGGCATTCTTTTAAGTCATGGTACCAAGAATTAAATGTATAAATGGAGAAAAGTGACAAGAAAGTAATGAAGTCAATATTTTGCACAAATATAGTGACCACCGTCCTTCAGTGTACTGTCGTAATGAAGGCAGTCCCCTCATTCACCTAACATATTCTAAATAACATTTAACAATTTCTGAAACCCAAACACACTCTATGAAAGAAGGAAGTGACCCTTTGTTAGTAGTTTGAGCCCATATCTGGCTTACGCCACATAGCCAGCATTGAAAAAGAGCAGAGCCTAAGATTTTTCATGGTTAATATCCTTAGTCATGTATCTCTCCTGCCCTCTCATATGCTCCTGATCAAACCATTCCTGATCTCTAACTTGACAGCAATTGATGGCTTGGCCTTTACACCCAGTGCTGCTCCCCTGGCTCTGGACCTTGTCGTTCCCAATTAGCAACTTACACCATCCTTTGAATTATGCTGCTTTCTGATGCTCTGTGAACACCCAACATGGTCCAGCCCAGCCTCTGGACCTACACGCCAGTTCAGGCTCATACAGCCAACATGCTGTTTGATTTACCCTAGCTCTGCACATGGCACTGGGACAACTGCGTATTAAAAGATAGGCACATCTCAAACAGGTATCTAATGTGAGCACTGGCAATTGCCCTGGTGGTATCTATTGTTTAAGCCTCCTGCCACCCAACTGCTTTGAAGGGGATGGGGTCAATTAGATATGGATATACACACATTCATCATATTTAGTATTAATGAAAGCAACAAGAATACATTTCATTTTTATGGTAGCTTATGGCGTATGAAACACTTTCTTGCACGTTATTTTATCACCACAAACAAGGTAGAATTGGCATGGGAATGGGGATGGTAGTTGGGTAGAAATCATTTATTTTCATTTTACAGATGAGGTAACCAAGCTCAGAGACAAGTCACTCTTCTAAGCAGAGTCTTAGGGCACAGCATTTAAGGAAACTCTCACTCCAGGGTAGTACAAGGGCAGGGACGGCACCTGAGAGTGGATACTGCCTTGTAGTTTGCACCCTGGGTTTCTTGTTGGACTTAATCTAGGTCCAGCCCCTGCCTCTAAGGCCTGCTTCATGGCTAAAAAGTAGAAAATTAAGGGCTAGAGCTTAGTGTCATTGTTACATTTATTTCCTTGATACAATATCAAATGCCCATTGCATTTCCTAACTCTGTCTCTCTGAAGAGCTCTGTCTCTCAGGCCCTATAAAGTCACCCCCATGAACTGATCTGTTATAGGTCTACATTGCAGGAACCGTAGAACATAGGTACCTTGAAAACATGGTTTGAATGTGGTTCCTTTTCTGCGTTCTTAGGTTCCAATTCACATGGCTCTTTTTCCTTCATTTTTTTATCTTCATGTTTAGCACTGAAATGTGAAGAGACACCAGGAAAAAAAAATGAAGCTTAGAGCGTTTAAATGATAGTGTACTGTCCAATCCTAAATGAAATGAATGGGAAAAATTGATTTAAGCAAATATGAATCATTTCTCTTAGATGAGGAGTCTAGGATCAGATCAATTATATACGTAGTTTCCTTGAGTTTCTGCCTGTTCCAATTAATGCCAGAGTGTTAATTCCTGCTTAAAATCTTCTAACTCCCTATTGCCTGTAAGATAAAACTTAACTTTCATCGTGATCTGGCTCCTACCTTTCTTTCCAAACTCATCTCATGCTGCCTTTTACCTCCACTTTTGCTTGAGTCTAGACTCTCATAATTCCTCAAACCCACCACCCTATTTGAGCAACTCTTCCTTTTTATTATTTTTCTTTAGACATGCCTTCCACATCTTATACTGGTAAATACAATGCCCTTCATGATATAGCTAAATCATCTTATCTCTGAGAATGCTTCCCTGATTCTCCCAAGCAGTCATACCTTCTCTACTCTTCTAACACTTTGTTCTTCTATATTGTCTTACAGTACATCTATCTATAGATCTATCTCCAGTCCCTCCACTTTGCCTTGTCAACCACTAAAAATCAAGGCAGAACTATCTTATTCACATGTGTAACTCCAGTGTTAATGCTGTGTAGGAATAGCTGGTTTTCGTGCCTCACTTCTGTGTTGTTAAACTTCCAAAGGAGTGATAATATTTTATTGTGATTTCCTATTTATTTGGTCATTTTACTCTCCAAGTAACTCCTCACTCCCAACTACTCTGGCTTCCCCTCCCACCTTGGATCAAGGGTAGAAAATATATTCTATTCAGTTTTGTACCTCAGAATCCAGCAGTGTCTGAAGAGTAAAAGCTCAATAAATATTGAACTAAATAATTAATCATTTGACCTGTGCCTACCATGTGCCCAGCACTGTGTTAGTGTCATAAGTTTAGGGACAGGTAGGAACTGAGGGAGAGAGAGGAAGGTAGCCCACCCAGCTAAAGCAGGTTTTCTCCATGATTCAGCAAATGTTTTCAGACTCAATCAGGAAATTTTGATATTTGCTTCTCCAGAGCTCATCAACCATGCTTTTAAAAATATATTAGAATAACTCCAGGGAGAAGGGCTAGAAACAGACTCGGAAGAGGCAGGTAAGAGCGCTACTATGTGCCAGGGCATTCCTCTGGACCCAAGGAGTGTGAGAGGTATCAGGAACACCAAGAACATTAAGACATTGGCCCTGAATACAAGGAGCTCCCAAACAAGAAGGGGAGTAGGGAGGGGAGGATGAATTGGCATGTTAGCAAACTACATACAGTGCCATTTGTGCAAACATACTGTGCAAACAGAACTTACAGTGGTACCACAGGCAAGGGACTGGTTACTTCTCTCTGAGGGAGTGGAATGAAGAAAGGGTTCATACACAAGGGGTGCTTGATGGATTAGTAGAAGCTTGCCAGATTGTTAAATTGGGGTGAATCGATGGCTTAAAAGAGCAAAGGCAAAGAGACTTCAAACAGCGTGGTGCATTTCAGAAACTGTCAGTTCTTTGGAATTCATGTTATTGTTATTTGCCTGTTTGATTGTGTGACTTTCCTACTAATTCAGGAGATCCTGAAAGCAATAGTGAGGTCTCCATCACTGCTACAGCCCCAGTGGTGAGCACATATCTGGCACAGGCTGGATACTCAGTAAATGTTTGCTGAGTACAGCATGGGCTAGAACAAGATGAGAGCGGGAGGCGAGGCAGGATCACCGATCACTTCCTCTGTACTAGGTACCTTGCAAGGTGCTGGGGAAACTGAACCAGGCTAGTTCAGTTTGGAAACATAGCTGGCCCATAGAGGAAAACTAGTTCAGTCATCAGAAAGTCAGTAGTTGGACAGATGCTTTTCTGTTTGAAGATAAAACTCACCTAGGTTCTGGATAGGGAAAATTCTTCCAAGACTGAAAGTAAAGAGGAAAGTGGTTATTTTCATAAATCAACCCGAATCAGGCTCTGTTATTTGGTTACAGATCATTAGAGACTACACCAAAAGGTGAGGGGGATGAAGCCTCAGTAGAGAGCAAAGGCAGACACTGACCACAGAAAGTCCCAGGAACTGTTGCAGTGGGGCTGAAGATCAATCAGAAATGAAAACAAGCATTTCTGACGTTACAGGGCATGCCCAAAGGAATGTATGATGTGACTCAGAAAAATTGTTGTCTGTACGCCTTTCCAGAAATGCATCTGAAACATAAATAACTTCTAAATCCCATGATAAAATATGAATTTGTGGGATTTAAGCAATATTTTAGTGGGTAAATTGGCATTCACAAGTGCACAAGTAATGCTGGAATTTCTCCCTTACTCACTGATCACGTGCCCTGTGATCACCGCTCAAATCTTGTAGGATCTATGTTTGGCTCCATTAAAATTATGCCCCAATGATCACAATGTAGCCCCTCATTTATTCAGTGGTTATAGATCTGGTCCCATTCATTATTTGGAATCTGTCTAAGAATGCTGAAAAGAATAGAATATATCTAAGCGTCTAAAATGCCATCACAAAATCCAGGTATCCTGGCTCATTATGCTCTCCTTTGAGGGCAGCCTTGCAGACCATTATTCAGAGACTATTGGTCCTTATTTTACACATAATTCCAACAAATTAGATGCAGCACTGGTAGAATGACAAGTCAGACAGGCCTTGTTTTTATATCTTTGTTACATGATTTACAGCTTACTAAACTTCTCTGAGCCTTAATGTTGTCATCTGTAATATGGGAGCAATGATATCAGCTCACAGGGTAACTATGAGGGTTAAGCGCTACTGTCTATGCACAAGTGCTATCACACTAGAGGGACCTGGTACATGTTTGACCAGATGAAAAACTCATTGCTAGACACAAAAATATTGACAGTAGAAAAAAAAAGGGAAAAGAATTCAGAAAACTGACTTGTGGTAATTTGGTGTGAAGGGAACTAGTTCTGCAAAGGCTCAAGAGCATCTCAAAAGAAGAGCATAAACTATGTCGACTCAGTCCCTTATAGTCAAGAATACTCCAAGTCATTAAGAAAGGAAGAGATCAGATTCCACTCACTGAGCTTAAAAATACAGATATAAACACAAAACATGTATGAGAGTTAAAAGATTTAAAAATTAAACATAATTTTATGTTTTACTTAAAACATAAAATTGGGATAAAATGGGATAAAATTCATTTACTTGGCGAGTTCACTTGTGTAGAATAGTTTATTATTTGTTGGTGTTGCCAGGCACATGAAGCATTTTAATAGGCTATTTCTACTCCCATTGATAGAAATAATAATCATTCATATTTTTCTAGTGACGAAGTGTATCCACAAATGAATAATCCTTACCAGCAAGCACAAGAAAACTGAAACAGAGAGATGAAGGATCTAGACTAAATGTACCCAGTAAGAAAAGAGTAGAAACTTAACTGATCCTATTAAAACACTAGGTAAGGGCCTTCTATGAGCTTACACAGTGCTTACATACTGTGTTTGCCTTGCTTCTCCCAGACATTCAGTGAAACAAGTATTGGTCCCTTTATTTACTGAGCATCTACTACTGCAGATACAGTAACCACAAGACATATGCTTCCTGTCCTCACGGAAAATATACCTTTTCTTTCCTTCTTCCCTTTCCTTCCTTCCCTCCCTTCCCTCCCTTCCCTTCCTTCCCTTCCTTCCCTTCTCTCTTTCTCTCTCTCTCTCTCTCTCTCTTTCTCTCTTTCTCTCTCTCTCTTTCTCTCTTTCTCTCTTTCTCTCTTTCTTTCTTTCTTTCTTGATACAAGGTCTCTGCCCAGGTTAAAGTATAGTGGTACAGTATCGGCTCACTGCAACCTCCACCTCCTGGGCTCAAACGGTCCTCCTGCCTCCGTCTCCCAAGTAGCTGGGACTACAGGCATATACCACCACGCCTGGCTAATTTTTGTATTTTTTTTTTTTGTAGGGACAGTGTTTCACCATGTTGCCCAGGCTGGTCTTGAACTCCTGGGCTCAAGTGATCTGTCTGTCTTGGCCTCCCAAAGTGCTAGGCTTATAGGCATGAGCCACTATGCCTGGCCAAGAATTCACCATTTTATAGAGGACACATCTGAGTCTCAGAGAGGTGAAATGCTCTGTTTCAAGCACTTACTAATAAGCTGTTTACCTTCATTTATCTTATTTTCATTCTCACAAGGACCTCAGATGTGAGTGCTTTATTCCCATTTTGCAGGTGAGGAAATGGACATTCAACATCACATAGCCAGGAGTTGGGATTGAGGCCAGCAGTGATTCTGCCTGGGCCCTACTCCGGTTGCTATGCTGCCTCCAGGTGGCACCTGGCACCAAGTCTAGCAGGAGCCCAGAAAGCATATCTGAAAGCCAGGATATACAAACCTGGATTGTGCCATAGAACTCAGAACTCTTCTCGCTGGAAGTCACAGTTATTAAAAGCTAGTTGTCACTGCCCACCACAGAAAAGGGCTATGGATGAATTGGGACCATGTCCTCCCATCCTATCCCACATTTTTGTCTCTGACAGTAACAGGGCTCAAAGTGCAGACTTCTTAGAAGCTGAAGTCTGGAAAAACCTCAGAAATAGGAGTAAAAGTGAAAACAAAGACATTCCTTCCCTCTAAAAGATACTACTTTAGAATCAACCTTGCATGCTTATTTTACTTTTAGTTATAATGTTGGTAAGGAGAAACAATACCTTTTGGAGTTCTTCAATTCCAACTTCATATGTTGCTAAAATAAACATAAAAAAATTATTTCAAGGCAGTTCATCCACCCATTTCTTATAGTATCCAGGATTAAAGTAGTTATGAAAGATTCCAGAGTTCGGTTTTCTCACCTTTAAGAACATCAGACTGTATAAAGCTCTATCTACAAAGTTTGGGAAATTATGGGATCAGTGATCATGGTTTTAATTTCTGTGGGGATTTCCAGAATGGAATTTACAGTCGATGAAGCATGTGAAACCATTTCAGTTTCCTGTTTTGGCAAACAGATACATACTCCATGCTTAGAAGAAAGCACTAAAATTTAGTGGCAGCTCAGAAGGCAAACGTGAAAGGAAAGGGAAAGGAAAAAGCCTAAATCCCACTTCAACAAAATTAATTCTCTATCTTGCCCCAAAGTGCTCTGTTCCACAGCCTTTTTCATTTCCTTAAATACAGTTTGAAAACACATCAACTAAGGCTGACCCACCTTTTGATTTTTCCAATAGTTATGTGGATTTTATTTAATGACATGATGCCAATCTTAATTACAGTCATGCATCACTTAACAGTGGGGATCTGTTCTGAGAAATGCATCCTTAGGTGATTTCATCATCATGTGAATATCATAGAACATATTTACACAAACCTAGATGATATAGCCTGCTATCTTCCTAGGATATAGGGTATGGCCTATTGCTCCCAGGCAACAAACCTGCATAGCATGTTACTGTACTGAATACTGTAGGCAATTGTAACACAATTATAAATAGTTGTGTATCTAAACATAGAAAAGGTACAGTAAAAATACAGTATTATCATCTTATGGGACCACTGCTGGATACGCAATTCATTGTTAACTGAAACATTGTATAGCACAAGACTGTATTAATATATACAAGTAGTGATAAGAATTTCAGTTCAAACACAGTTCTGCCACTCCTACATAGGGTATTTCAAACAAATTACTTCATTTCTTTGAGCCTCAGCTTGCTCATCTATAAAAATGGACCAATTGGTACCTGCCTTACAGAGTTAATGGGGAGATTCAAGGAAATAATGTAAGAAATTTGGCCAGGTGAGGTGGCTCATGCCTGTAATCCCAGCACTTTGGGAGGCTGAGGCAGGTGGATTACAAGGTCAGGAGTTCAACACCAGCCTGGCCAAGATAGTGAAACACCATCTCTACTGAAAATACAAAAATTAGTCAGGCACAGTGGCAGGCCTATAATCCCAGCTACTCGGGAGGCTGAGGCAGGAGAATCGCTTTAACCCGGGAGGCAGAGGTTGCAGTGAACCGAGATCATGCCACTGTATTCCAGCCTGGGCAACAGAGTGAGACTCCATCACAAAAAAAAAAAAAAAAAAAAAAAAAGAAAAAGAAAAGAAATTCAATATACCTAGCAGAACACTGGATATTGTATAGAAAATGGCAAATTTTTTGATAAAATTGCTTGTTTGGTTTTTCTTTGCTTAAAAGTTATTTATAAAAGTTTTCTCCCTACTGTTAGTAAACATATGTGCATAAAAGTAGGACTTCTCCCTCTGCTTTTCTCTTTCTTGCTGCTAAAGTCTTGAAGCTTTAGAAAACTGACCAAACAACATGTTGCATTTCCAAGCTTTTATTATTCTAAACATATAATCTACTGATAAAATCAATGAAATGCTAGGTTTTCTTTAGGGACTATCAGCATACAATTGTTGACACAGACCTAAAATTCTACATGATTAATTAATAATATGTATTTCAACTTGAGTAATTGTACATATAATACTTTAAATTAGGTAATTTTACACTTAATACTTTAAAAATACCTGTTTGTGATACAGTTTGCCCAATATCCATTCCTGATATGAATTTGCTTTCCAATTTTAAGGATAATAATCTCCTTCTTTCTACTCCAATTTATTTACTTGTCTATGCTTTTCAAAAACAAATCATGAGCTCTTCGCTTCTCCTAACCACCTTGGGATGGATACTATTACTTCTTCTGTCTTAGAAATGATGAAACCAAAGCCTGGAGAAGCCTTATTTGCCATGGCTAGTAAACAAAGATAATACACATTCAATTAATAATGTGTTCAAAATGTCGTTACTGCTGTTTAACAAAGTGGAGGTTCTTTCATGGTAAGCTAAGCTATCCAAACTTAGGTAGGAATTCCAACATATATTCCAAGTTAGGAGTATAGAGGATAAAGGGCTACATCCCAAAGAGTCAGGAACGGACTAAGAATTATGACAAGAGCATGTGATCTACAGCATGGGAGTCCTCGCTTACTTTTGGCACAGAAATACGTAACCCTCTCTCCACTGACTAGTTTTATTGTGGGGGCAGAGAAAGGACTAATATCTGAAGATGGTTCTCAGCAGCCCTCCAACTGCTAGGGTCATAACACATGGTCATGTCTTGGAGGCCTTTTGTTCCTTCTCCTCATCCTATCTGTATGACCTTGGAAAAGTCCCAATAGCAATGGTAACAGCAGACATTCTTGCCTTGTTACCAGTAGTAGGGGTAAAGCAATCAGTGTTTCACCATTAAGAATCATGATTAGCTATAGGCTTCCTGTAAATGTTCTTTATCAAGTTGAGGAAGACAATAGAGTCCCCATCTATTCCTATTTTTATGACAGTTTTTTAAAATCATAAATGGGTGTTGAATTTTGTTAAATTATTTTCTGCACAGATTGTCTGATTTTTCTTCTTTATCCTGCCAACATGGTGATTTTGTTGATTTTTGAATATTGAACCAGCTTTGCATCTCTGCACTCTTATATACCATTACCAAATGAAGAATAAACCACACTTGATCATGAAGAATAATTAATTTTCTATGTTGCTGAATTCTATTTGCTAATATTTTGTCGAGGATTTTCATGACCATACTAATTAAGGATATTGATCTGAAGTTTTCTTCTTTTGTACTGATTTTGTCTGGTTTTGAGATCATGGTAATACTAACTTTAAAAAAACAAAATGTGTTTTCTCCTCCATTTTTGGGAAAGATTGTATAAAACTGGTATTAATTTATCTTTAAATGCCTAATAGAATTTTTCAGTGAAATCACCTGACTTAGAGTTCATTTTGGGGGAGTTTTTAAACTATGCATTCAGTTTTCTTAAGAGTTACAGGGATATTCAAATTATTTTGGGTGAGTTGTGGTAATTTGTGCTTTTTGAGGAATTGTTCCTTTTTTTTAAATCTAAGTTGTTAAGTTTATATGTGGAGAGTTGTTCATAATATTCCCTTATTATTGTTTTGATATCTACAGGGTCTATAATGATATCCCTGTTTCATTCTTAATATTATATCTTCTTTCTGTTTCTTTTTCAGCCTTGCTAGAAGTTTATCAATTTTTTCAACTTTGCTAGAAGTTTGTCAATTTTACTGATTGTTTTTTCAAAGAACACATTTTTGTTTCCATTGATTTTCTCTATTGTTTTTTGTTTTCATTTCATTTCATTTACTTCTAATCTTATCCTTATTGTTTCCTTCCTGCTACTTGCTTTCAAGAATTTTTCTCTGTCTTTAAGAAGTTTGATTATGATTCTTCGTGAGATTGCATTTGTTTTAGATTTGCTTGGTTTCTTGAATCTGTTGTCATATTATTATTATTATTATTATTATTATTTTAGATGGAGTTTTGCTCTTATTGCCCAGGATGGAGTGCAATGGCATGATCTCGGCTCACTGCCACCTCCACCTCCTGGGTTCAAGAGGTTCTCCTGCCTCAGCCTCCTGAGTAGCTGAAATTACAGATGTCCACTGCCACACCCAGCTAATTTTTTGTATTTTTAGTAGAGATGAGGTTTCACCATGTTGGCCAGGTTGGTCTTGAACTCCTGACCTTAGGTGATCCACTTGCCTCAGCCTTCCAGAGTGTTGGGATGACAGGTGTGAGCCACCGCTCCTGACCCATATTATATCTTTTGCCAAATTGGGGGAGTTTTCAGTCACTATTTCTCCAAGTACTTCTTCAGTCATGCACTCCTTCTCTTTCCAGAAGTCTAATGACATGAATGTTAAATATTTTGTTATAGTCTCACAAGTTTTTTGAAGCTCTTTTCATTTTTTTTTCAGTCTATTTTCTCCTTGTTCAGATTCGGTAGTTACTATTGTTTATTTTTAAGTCATTGACTCTTTGTCCCTCCATTCTGCTGTTGAGCACATCCACTGACCTTTTTATTTTTCAGTTCTAACATTGTCATTTTTTTTACATTTCTATTTCTCTATAAAGACATTTTATTTCTTTGATAAGACTTTGCTTCATTTATTTCAAGCATGTCCATAACTATGCATTGGAAAATTTTATAAAAGCTGCTTTAAAGTCTTAGTCAGAAAATTCTAGTATTTCAGCCATCTCAATTTTGGCAGGCATTTTTTTTTTTTCAAATTCAGCTGCCATAACAAAATACCATAAATTGCATGGCTAATAAATAACAGAAATTTATTCCTCATAGTTCTGGAGTGGGAAGTTCCGAGATCAAAGTGACAACAGATTCAATTCTGGTGAAGGCCTGCTGCCTGGTTCATAGAAAGCCGTCTTCTTGCTGTGCCCTCATAAGGAGAAGAAAAAAGCAATTTCTTTTGGGATGCTTGTAAAGACACTAATCCCATTCGTGAGGGCTCCACCCTCATGACCTCATGTAATACTAACTACCTCCGAAAGAGCTCACCTCCTAAATACCATTGCATTAGGGGGTAGGTTTCCAACATTTTAGAGAGTAAATAATAATACCTAAGTGAGAAGAGAGCACCTCATCACTGCTGGGCAGGAGTAGGAAGGAGTTTGGCTCTCCAGCAGGCTTCTGCTGATAACATCTTAGCTGGAAAGAGTAGAGTGCCCTGTTATTGCTTCCCGTATGACCTTCGCCAACAGCAATAAGGAGAGGGTGGCCTTTTTCCTGCTGGGTGGTTATGAAGATCCCTTCTATTAGCTCATCCTTTGAGGTAGAGAGAAGGACATCTTGTTACTTCTGGAAGGAGAGTGAAAGTCAAAGTTCCCCACATAATCTTTATGGACACTAAGTGGAATTTTATTACCACCTGGCAGGGGTGGAAATCCCAGCTCCCTACCTGGCCTTCTCTGACATCACTCCAGTGGAGGAGTTGGGTGCATCATTGCATCTACATCTACCCTGCCTGCTGAGGGTAGATGTCTAGGCCCCCCATTCAGCATTGCTGTTGGTGGTGGGCCCCATTTTTTTCTATGATGTTTGGCTGGAGTAGACCAGCTATTGTCTAGAGGTTTTCTGTCTTTCTAAGTTGCCCTTTTCCTGGTCATTTGGCTAGAAAGAGAAGGCTTCAGCTGAAGCTGTTGTGCCCACTGGTGTTTCTGGGTTGCTAACTTTTTTACCTCCAAAACTGACACATATGAGGCAAGAAGAAAATCAGGGAACTCACCACCTTATCCTTCCTTGGGGCCTGATGTCCCTAACTGGTCTACCTCCTTCTCTCTACCTTTCAGAGTCATCTAGTCTTCTTATGTTTGTTTTACATACATAATGCCTGGGGCTTTTAGCTGTACTTTGCAGGAGCATTAGCAAAAAAGTACATCTGTTCCATCTTCCCAGAAACAGAGGTCCACTTCACTTGAAATGAGCTACTTGCAGGGGGGTGGGTTCTAGGGGTGTCACATGGTCCAGAGAGAGAAGGAGCAGGTTCTGATTGGAGCATCCCGTTGGCTCTGTGAATTCTTCGCCTTGTAGAAGGGCACATAGTTGGAATGTGGCCCAAATGGTGCCCACAGATTTTGTTTTCAAAGTGTGGTCTATAGACCAGCAGCATTGGTATCACCAAGGAACTTGTTAGAAATACAGAATCTCAGATCCCACACTGGAGGAGCTGCTGAACCAGAATCTACATTTTAACAAGATCCCTGTGCGACTTGTATGAACGCTAGTATCTGAGAAGCCCTGCTCTAAAGAAGGGGCCCATATACTCTGAGTATGGGGCAGCACTGCCTTTTGGGAGTGCTGGGCGGGGTCAAGACTTGCTCTTCCTATGGCTAGTATTTTACAAGCCATTTAGGAGAACCTAGACTGCCCAGTCTAAAAGAGAGGCAGTTTTTCTAATAGTTCTCCAACCCCTTATTTCTTGAGGGAGAAGAGGGGAATTTCAATAGGTCCTGATCCTTACCACATGAACTTTCTAAGTATGTATTCCCAGGAAAATGACTTCCTTTCCGAGAACCTTGGGGTTCTGGTCCATACAATGAAGAAGTTGTACCGGATGATCTCTTTTTAGCCCTGCTTCCAGGGAAGCCAAACTTCCTTGAATAAGAAGTAGCATAAACTTGTGGAAAAGCATAGACTTTAGAGGTAGCCTGAGCCTGTTTCACATTATAACCCTATTCCATGGTATATTTATGACCTCGTGCAACTCAATCTTTCCGATGTTCAGTTTCCTGTATCAAACATTAGGGTTGATCAAACCACTCTATCAGCAGGGCTGTACACAGGGAGCCTAACATGGAACTACAGTATCCTATAGTACAAGCTCACTAAATACCAGTGTTTATTCCAGCACTAAAATGTATGCTTTTACAGAGAACTGGCTGATACTATAGGCAAACAAAGATGTTGCAACTTGTAGAAATGCTATGAATCTCTGCTCCCTCATCTTTTTACCTGAGAAGGTCTCTTAACTCACAAGAAAAGTCCCGAGCATTGTCAGCAATGCCAGAGGCAGGAAGACTTAGCTCTGAGCCAGTGGTCAGATCCATTAAATAAATCCCCTGATCCTATTCAGACTGAACACAGGGGCCTAACTCTTATGGTCTGTTATCTCGTTCTCCACACACCAAGTAACCAGGGAACTTCAAGAAAGACACCAGGAGAAAAGAGATGAAGTTTCTATAGGAAGAGAAGGAAGAAAAATGAATCGTCATATCTTGATTTTCCCTCCCTCATATCTACAAAAGGCAAAGCAACTGAGTCGATTGGTAAAGGGGAGAAAAGAAGAGGCTGGGAAGGCAGCAACAGCTATTGTGAGATAGCATTGATGCCCAGCTGGATTTATTTATATTTTTAAGATACCAGACACAGAAAAAAAAGAAAAAGAAATAAGATGGTAGTGCAGGATGGCTGTGCATTTTTAAACTTACAGTTAGCTAAAGGGAAAATATCATTTTTGACACATTTTCATTCCACACGGGGTTACACTATTAATTGGCTTAGCAGACTTACGATCAGCAATTTCTTTTGCAGTGCACAGGTTAATGGAGTTGCCAGAGTGTCTCAGATATGAAATTGTTGCCTCATAATTATGTGGTTCTTCAAATTCTGCATTGAAAAGCCTGGAGAAAAAAAGGTTACTTAAAATGTAACATTTTTAAAAACACATTTTGAAAGCTTTTTGTATTTTTTCCTCATTACAGAAATAATATAAGTATGTCTGGCCGATATAGTGACCTAAGCATATATGGGAGGCACACCACCCCTACTCCAAATGCATAAGAATTCTAGATGAAATATAGCAATGCAAAGACCTGTATAAAGATTATATGGTCCACATAGAAATCAATAAAGCAAAATCCCCAGGTGCCAGACATACAGAGGAAACTCACAATTAAAGATGCAAGTGAGAACTGCAGTCAAGGGACACAAAGGGAAATTGAGACCAGATAAAGAGAAATCTTAATGACTAGGCAGCTGGGGATTTAACGTCTGAGTCAGAAGGTAAGTCTGAACCATAAGCCTCATCTGAATGGGAAGCTGAAATGGAGCTATCAGCATCAAGTCCAGAGTTACAATATGCTGTTCTGTCTGTAAAACAAGTACTAAACATATCTGTCCAGTCTCCCAGAGAATGAGCTTGGAAGTTTGCTATCTGACTATGGCCACAGGAACTGAAAGAGTCACCAGTGAGAAATCAGAAACGAAAACCCAGCACCAAATACAGAGGTGGGGTTTAATAAACCATCTGTCCATTTCAGAGACACAAAGCCAAAACTGATGCTTGAAATTCAAATCCCTCTTGTAAAGGCAAATCTGAAATTATTCTGTAAAGATGCTTCCACAATCCATGGCACCTGTAGTTTCCAAAGAAAACAAATTCCCACTCAGAACAAGCTGATAGTGAAAACTGAAAATCATACAAGGAGATGAGCTGCAGTAAGATAGTCAGAAGGTATAACTAATGAGGGACCTAAATAATAGAATAACATGAACGTTAATTTAAAAGACATGTGTTTTTAGTAGTCAAAGAAATAAAGTGAAGAATAAAAACCATTAGGTAACAACAAGAGACTGAGGGAAATGAATGTCCTATAGATTTGGAGAAAGGAGTTATAGAGATCATAAAATATAGTTCTTAAGATAAAAAATTTAGTGTAGAAGCTGAAAAGTAGACTAGATGCCACAGCAGGAGGAATTGGTGAACTATTATTATTACTATTATTATTATACGTTTGTTGAGACAGGGTCTCACCCTGTCACCCAGGCTGGAGTGCAGTGGCGCAATCTCAGCTCACTCTGGCCTCAATCTCCCAGGCTCAAGCAATCTGCACCCTCAGCCTCCTGAGTAGCTGGGACTACAGGTATGTGCCACCACACCCAGATAATTTTTTTGTGTTTTTGTAGAAAGGAAGCCTCACCATATTGCCCAGGCTGGTTTCGAACTCCTGGGCTCAAGTGATCCACCTGCCTTGGCCTCCCAAAAGTACTAGGATTACAGTCATGAGCCACTGGCCTAGAATTGGTGAATTATTTAGATATGACGACATTATCCAGAATGTAGCATAGAGAGATAAAGAGACAGAAAATATTTAATAAGAAGAGATAGGGAGGATAGAATGAGAAAGTACAACATACATATATTAAGGATTATAAGAAGAAAGAAGAAGGAGAATGATGAAAAGGAGTCAATATTCAAATTATAATAGCTAAGACTATTATTTTCCATAATAATATGGAAAACAGTGGAAGAGGGCTATGAAAATTATTTTCAAGTCTTTGCATTATTTACGAGGATAGAGATGTTGATTAACATTAGACTTTGTAAATTATAGATGTCAAAATTTAATTGTAACTACTAAAAATAATAGAAATAGAATATTTAACTTCTAAACTGGTAGAAGGGAAATATGCAATGAGAAAGCTTAAATTTTTTAAAAAAAGAAGGAAAGAAAAAATGCAATTATAGAAATTGCATAGTAAATCTTAATTGGGAAAAGTCCAAATAGGTCAAGGATTGCAATAAATGCACGTGAACTAAGCTATCCCACTAAAATAAAGAGTATCTGAATTGATATATATCTGAGTACACGTATCTGAATTGATATATATCTGAGTACATGTATCTGAATTGATATATTGGCCGGGCATGGTGGCTCACGCCTGTAATCCCAACACTTTGGGAGGCCGAGGTGGGCGGATCATGAGATCAGGAGATGGAGACCATCCTGCCTAACACCATGAAACCCCGTCTCTACTAAAAAATACAAAGAAAAAATTAGCCGGACGTGGTGGTGGGTGCCTATAGTCCCAGCCACTCAAGAGGCTGAGGCAGGAGAATGGCGTCAACCCGGGAGGCAGAGCTTGCAGTGAGCCAAGCTTGCGCCACTGCACTCCAGCCTGGAGGACAGAGCGAGACTTTGTCTCAAAAAAAAAAAAAAAAGCAGACAAGTCAAAAATCAAAAAGACATATAAACCAAATAGTACCAAAGAAAACTGAAGCAGGTATATTAATATTAGACCAACTTTAGTGTGACTGATGAAGAAAATGAGAAAGGATTCACACGAGTGAATATACACCGACACAAATTAGAGATAAGAAAGGAAACAAAACTAGAGATAGTTTTAGGCTTTCAGAAATCTAAGACAGTGTTATGATCAGCTCTCTACCAGTAACTTTAAAAATTTAGAGAAAATTAGCAAATTTATAGGGAAGTAGAAAATTGCCATACCAACTGAGAAAGAAACACAAAAACTAATAGGCCAATAAATCATTAAAGAACTTTTATCAGTAGTACACCGATAAAAGGTACACTCTTCCCTGTACCTACCTCCACCCTAACTCACCTCTCTTCTTGTTCTCTACCAAATAGTTTTATAGACAAGTTTTAATGAACTGTTTTAGAGGATAGAAAAAGAGGAAAAGCTACACTACTCATTTTAAGAAGATAATACAATTTTGGTATGAAGACCACGAAATGATCAAAGAATAAGAGAAAATATAGCGCAATCTCACTTCAGAGATTTTAACCCAAATTCACTAAATACTGAAAAATGAATTAATCAGTATTAAAAATAACTCAAGAATAACTAAAATTTGTTCCAAGACTTCAAGGATGGCTTAATATCAGAAAATATATCATTGTAATTAATCACATTGTTTCAATAAAAGTGAAAAAAGTTATTTTAATATGCCAAAAAGCATTCCAGGGAGATAAATTTTCTTTACTAGGTTACCCTCCACAAATAACATACTTAATAGTAAAGTGTAACAAACAATATTTAGATTCTGTCAGGAACTTTGGCAATAAGAAAAAGACAAACCCGTAGAAAACTGGACGAAAGTATATGCCAGTCATCACGGAAGAGTTAAACTGAATAGCTTATAAACGTAAACTCCTAACCTCATAGTGAACAGGGAAATGGAAATCGAGATAATGAAAATTTGGTTCACATTCATCAGATTAGCTAGAATCCCAGTTTGAAAATAATACCTTATTTGGTAAGAATGTGGAGAAACAGGAACTCTTTAAACTGCTTTGACTGTATGAATTGTCACAACCCATTTTGGAGAATAATTTTTCAATATCTAGTAACACTGAAGTTGATTATTTAGTATTGTTTAGCAATTCTACTTCTAAGTAAATAGCTTTGAGAAACTTGCTTATATTTACCTACAAATATAGGAGAATGATTACTGACGCATTATTTGAAATGGCAAAAATTTACAACAATCTGCATGTCCCTTAGTGACAAAATGCATAAACAAATTGGGATATGTTCATATGATGAAATACAATACAGTAATTATGATGAACAAATGACGTATACATCAACATAGATAGAATATGAAAACACAGCTTTGTAAAAAAAAGTTGCAGAAGGATAACATAAGGTGTCATTTATACAAAAATTTAAAAACTATATCCTTAACAGATATATGAGTTTATAGCTCAAACCTAAGAATATACTAAATGGATACACTCACAAATTCATGATTGGAGTTGCCTCTGCAAAGAGAGAAAGGGAAATGGAATTATGGAGTGAATTCATAATTCTTTCTCCTCTGTACTGTCCATATTTGGTATGAGGTAGTTCCATTTGCTATAGATGCAGTTGAAGGGGACTAGAGTTAGGGTTAGGGTTAGGGTTAAAGGTTAGGTTAGAGTTGAAGGGACTTCAGCTGCATCTAGAGCAAATGGAAAATAACAACTACATCACAGCAAAAGTGGATAGTATCAAAGAGAAAAAATTACACATAATCTCTGCACCTTAATACAAATGAAGTCTTAGCCTTTGATAGTCTTCCTGGTTTTTCATTTATATGTGTATTCACTTAGTTATCATAGACAGTGAAAAAGTTGAAGTTCTCTCTTTTTTTCCCTCATTTATTATAATCAAAAGCACATTCCACCCAATTGTCTTGTCTCCTTTGTTTGACTATTTTGCATATTTTCTAGTTTTCTTTTGTGCATGTTATCTGTAATAACTCTAAAAATGTAATAGTTCATTTTGCTGAAAAAGAAAAAGTATGAACTCCAATGCATAAGTGACTTCTCCTCTCATATTTTTCCCCTCCCTCTTCATAAAGTAATAACGAGAAACTTTCTTAAATTATCGGCTATGCCATATACCTCATGCTTCAATAGCCTAACAATCTCATTTGGTCTATGGTAAATTAATTTTATTAATAAGAAACAATTTGGGGAAAAATTGAAAGATGTCCAATCAATTTCTTAGACTACTTTGGTCAAAAATGCATAAATATCGCATTTCAGATAATTATAAAGAAAATTTTACCAAAGTTTCCAAAAAGGCATCTTTAGGATCAATTGTCTTTAGAGAGAATCAGTTCTGGGATTATTGTTAAGAGGAAAAAAGAAGGTTGCAGATGTATTTTAACCTCCTTTTTTTGCTACCTGAGAATGTCTTTTACCTTTATCCGTGGTCCGTTAAAACTAGATCTGAGATCCACCTTGACTTTATACAATGTGGATCAATATAAAGAACTTGGATTGGAGAGAAGAAATAACTCTACGATTCAAATCTATGCTTCAACTTATTTCCACATTTATGAAAAATGTGTCTACAGGACTATAGAAACTACTGGGAGGCAGCACAG